GGTTATGAACAAATGAAATACAAATGTTAATAAAAAATTCGCAATTTTTTATACTTCAGTACCGTACACCACATCAATGGGGAGGGCGGAAAGCGAGAAGGGCAGAACAGGGGCGCGGGATGGGATTGGTGGGCAGCATTACATGTAACCAGTTTTATATGAAAGTTAGATGTTGGTTTATACACATCTTCCGCCACCATACAGTAGATGATGGCCCTGGGATATGTATAAATTTTCAACCATTAGATGTATTTTTGATTTCTGGTACAATACCAATTTGCGCGAGGTTCAAGTAAGTTTTATGTGTTCTACAGGCACTGATTATTTAAACAATTTAAACATTATTATTTGTTGCACAGTTTATGAACACATCGTGGCAGCAGTTAGAAATGGAGCCAGTGCTGCTGCTCCGTTCCGGCTCCTCACATTTGCGCGCCGTAGCTTCGTGATTCCGACTCGCAGAGGTTCTGCCCAGCTCCGAAACGAATGTAGCCTTGCTCACCCCATCTGCAGACCATAAAATTATCAGTTGTGTTAGCGCAAGCGAAGAAGAGCGACAATCTACTGTAAAATCTAGGTGCTTCATTTTAAAAAGTGTCGTGCTTTCAAGGTGTCTTCGAAGATTACCTTCAAAAAATTGCACATGAAGATTTAAAAGCTGCTTCTTGCCCAATAAAGCCTTTTATTTTTTGTTGGGATGGTTATTCTTTCGAAATTTTCCCGAAAGCAGCATGAAATTCTCCTCGAAATTCTTTTTCTCTAGCAGACAGCAACTAGTAGCAGCCTTAGAATGTTTTAGGTTCCGACCGTCGAAGATGTCCAAGATGTCTTCAATGTGACAATAAAGTAGCGAATAACTGCGTTTTAAAACACTCACAAATTAATGGAAAACTGAAATTAATTATCAAGAATGCCAGGATCACCCGAACAATCTGTGTGGATATTCCATTTGGTGATTTCAATCACATGCTCCCAAACGCCTGGATTTTCAAATTAATAGCTAAAAAAGACAGAATGCTGAAATTTTGAGAGGATGTGCCATTCCCAATATAACCTCAAAAAAAAAATAAATTCATTTCTCAAATATGCCAAATTCATTTCTCAAATATGTCTCACGTGTAGACACCTGGGTGCCTATAAATGAGAATTAGGCGGG